AGCCTGGAAAGCTACTCGTGGTGTATTCGATATGCCGAAAACAGTAACAAGTACGGGTCTCATTTCCCAGACCCTGAAAGAGCCTCCAATATGGCAGCGTTGGGAAGGACGAGTAAGGAGAGGCTGCTAAAATCTCAGTCAGGGCTGGGACAAATGGAGACATTACTGGTACAGGCTCGAATAAATCGATGAATAACGCGATGACAGTGATACAGTGATACAGTGATTTCAGAGACCCATAAATCTCTAAAGAGATCAAAAGACACAGTTAGGGCCAGTAGTGCAGAAGTAAGCGGGAAGCCGTGACTGAGAGCTCTAAGCCCGCTTGGATCAGGACTGGGGCTCCTCCCTTTAGGTCCCTAGTTTTCTAGTAACTTGGCAGTCACACCCACAAACTGCTCCTGGTGCCATGAAATCTCATCAATGGCCAAGACCCAGAGACCATAAACTAAAGCTCTGGGGAGAGAACTCCGCAGACTGTCCTGACCCTGCACCAGGCTATCTTCACTGGGGCACCTCAGAGGGGACTGAGTTGCGTTTCCCTTCCTGCCCCAAGCAGAACCACGGCAGCTGAAAACCTCCAGAACCCAACTGCTGCCACGCTCAAGGCTACTTTCCACACACTTAGATGAACCTCACCCAAGAGGGGATGAGCCTCACCCAAGATTGGATGTACCTCATCTGAGAGTGGACAGGCAGGAAAACCCGGTATGCGGGAACCTGTGACTGATATTTCCAAGCCCACACAGATCAGGACTGGGCTTCCTCCCTCTAGGTCCCCAGTTTTCTGGAAGCTTGGCAGTCACACCCACAAAGTGCCCCTGACCACGCCATGTAATCTCATCAATGACCAAGACCCAGGACTATAAACTAAAGCTCCCGGAAGAGAATGACACAGAATTTCCTGGACATTATATTCTATCCATAAGAAGCAACACAAAACAAATCGTCTATCATTGCCTTTTTTGGCAGGTTTGAGTGGTGGTGAAACTGGTGTCAAATATCGAATGTAACCAAAGTAGAGAGAGAGCATGAGGGAAATTTTATGCCACACAGGCATGGGAAGGGTTGCAATGGGGTAGGGGGAGGGGAATACTGGGGATTTTGGTGGTGAAAAATGTGCACTGGTGAAGTGATGGGTATTTGATGATTGTATGACTGAAGCCCAAACATGAAAGCTTTGTAACTATATCTCATGGTGAAATAATAAAATGGAAGGGGGCAAAGCAGACTTGGGGGCTGAAACACAAAGGGCAAATTGGCAAGACATGGAGGAGGGAAATAGGAAAGAAACAAGAACAGAAGTAGTCCATGGCCAGAAAAAGGTAAAGGGAAACTGACCTAGACTATGAATAAATTGTCCCAGCTATGGGACCTTGCAGAGTGTGACAAATGAATGCAGATCAACTCATAAAATTAGATTGAGTGAAAACTGTTTAGGCTAATACAAAAAATACACCAAGACATACTACTGTGGACTTTGATACTGGGTCACACACAGTTCAGCTTTTACTATATTCATTCTCGTAGGCAGAACAATTCAACTTAAAAAAATTATCCCAAGGACATAGTCAAATTTCATTCACAGCACTTTAGGATTACAACAATTATTTAGGCGTTCCAAATAAATAAGAAGAGGACGCTATCGTTAGTAAGTTTTCCTTGAAATGCCGACTTTGGGAGAGAGAACATGAAAGAAAGAGCGTTCCATCTTGTGCCCCACATATTCAGATTTTGTTTTGCACATGTTTTTTGGTTACCATAGCAACTCCCAGATTTCTCTGTGTAAATGGGAAACTGGGAACCTCGTTTAAACAAAAAATGATTAGTGTGTTCTTTTTATCCTGGTAAGCTCATTCTGTGCTGACAAATTACATTTTGACAGCTAGGTTGTAATCTAAAACATGCTTCTTTTAGAAAGTCTGAATAATAAATTATTTCAAAGGATTGAGCTATTCACTTATACTTTAATATGTATTTGATTTTAATAAATTCAAGAGAATAAGTTAGGATATTTGTTATACTTTTAAAGTACTTCAGAGCATTTTCTTGTGAAAATTGACAGATGTCAATTTTACTGTTTTACTCATGAAATGTGATATTAGGGAAAGAGAGGAGCCTTCAGTTTGACTTGAAAGTTGAGCCCTGCCACACTCTGCCAGTTATTAGCTGAATAAACTTGGGCAACTCTGAGTCTCAATTCTCATCTATAAAACTAGAATCAGGAAAAAAAATAGTAGTGCCTACAGCACTTTCCAATCTATTGAGTTTGTTCTCTATGTAATTTGATAGCTATTATTACCAAAGAAAAATATAAGCAAGTACAGAAACATCCAAAACTTCAGAATATATTCTGAAGTACTTTAAAAGTAAAGCAAAAAGCTTATTCTCTTGAGTTTATTGAAATCAAGTACATGTTTAAGTATAAGTGAAGAATAACTAAATCCTTGGAAATAATTATTACTCAGACTCTATAAAAGAAGCATGTTTTAGACTTAGTTTAAAAGAAATAAGGTTTCACATAGAAAATACAAATATGTTTCAAAATAATGCTCTAACTGAATTATTGAGTTGGACTTCTTCGGGCTTCAATAATTTATGATACTATTATTAGATATTCCTCAGTAAGTAATAGAAAAGCCACTTACAGTGTCATAAAATGGTAGAACATGACAGATTAAGCTTGCACAAAGGAAGTCTGAGGTTCTCAAAACTTTTAACAATGAAAACATACAGTCAGCTACACTAATGTATAACATTGCAATAGAAAATGACTAAGCTTTTAACTTAGAAAGGGTACTAGTAAGACAGGGTTGGAGTCCTCAGTAATCCGTTCAAGATGAAAAAATGTATCTGTGAGGATAGGCCCTGGATTTTTCTAAGAATGAGTCATCTCTGGAGGAAAGTTTGCATTGAGGCTGGGGCACATTTCTCCTCTTGTTTTCCAAAATCACTCATTTCACTTTTTCATATTCCAGTGAGGGGCTGGATTCATCTATGCTCTATATTTCTTGGTTTTCTTCTTCTTAAACTATGGTTTAAGGAATGGGAATTTAGTGAGGCATAATAAATCTTCTGTCATATTCCTTAACCCTTAATCTTTCTTTAATTCTTGAACTTTCATTTGTTTTGAATTTGGAAGCACCATGAATGATCATATTAAATCTAACTGAAATATTTAAGCTAACTGAATAAAAATACAAATGCGAAACACTGTAAAGCAAAACATGATCTTCTTTTGGGGCAACATCCTAAGCAGTGCTCACGAGCCCAGGGTCCTTCCTAACTGCGCCAGTGGTTCAGTGTCTGAGACCAGGATGTGATGCTGTATCCACCACCAGTTCACCTTGGCATTTCAAACGGGATGTAGAGGGTGTGTCTTTGTCTCTAAGTCATGCCTAGTCATGCTTAGGATCCTTCAGGCCTACACCTCATGACACTAGGTGACCAGAATTTCTGAAGATCAAACTGGGGCCAGCAGCATGCAAGGTGTGCACCTTAATTCCTGCACTAGCACTATATTTTTGGTCCCAAAACAAGATATTCTGACATAACTTGTTAAAACATTCTTCAAATGAAAATAATTATTTAAGGAAGCTTAAATCCAGGTTTCACATGACACTTAAGTCCTCTATGTTAGTCTATTGAAAATTACGGTGCTTAATTGTTAAGCAACAAAAACAGTGAAGAACCCAACACAGCAACAAATGTTAAAAACATGTTCCACTCTATGAATTAGGTTTTAATTTATATATTTTTAAATGTAATAGTACTGCTGTTTATTCAGCCATTGATTAAGCTGATTGAATTGGGCATGAGCTCCACATTATTTTTTTAATTGAATATCCGTGAGATAGACCATTACAAAGATGTTCATAATTGGGATTCAGTCATACAATGATCCAGCACCCATCCCTCCACCAGTGTACATTTTCTATCACCAATGTCCCCTGTTTCTCCCACCCCCCCCCCCCCACCCCGCGCCCCAGCCTCCCTCTATAGGAGGCACTTTCCTTCTTGCTCACTCTCCTTTTCCCTTGTGGATTATGGTTTGCAATACAGGTGCTAAGAGGTCATCGTGTTTGTTCAGGGCATTCAATATTTTTATCAGGACAGTAAGGCTGGAGTAGCTTTTTAATTGGGAGGCCTTCTCATTTGGGTACTCCATTCATTTTACAGCAGTGTCACTGGATAAGAGTTTTGCAACCCTTCAACTCCACTCAGTAAGTGGGTGAGGTTAAAGTCCCTGTTCTAAGGGGACCAGTTTTTGCTACTGCCCAAAATCTCCAGGTAAAGTTTAGATGCCCTGTTAGGTTTACAACAAATAACAACAAATAGTTCTTGGAAGAAGTATGTCCCAAACTTGGATCTGATATATACTTATACTATATACAATGATTTTATGCTCAGATCTGTCTATATCCCATGCCTGTTTTAAATGTTTTTCATATATTAATTCATTTACTACAAGAAAATATATGACTGTTAACATTTGATGACAATGGATGACAATGGATGATCAAAGGTTAGGAAGAACAAATCATGTATTTTTTATATTTTAAAAATTATGCAAAAATTTATAAAATTAACACATCTAGTTAATTGTTATTAATCAATCCGCTACAAAACAAGTTAGACAACATCAAAAAATAAAAAATTAAGATAACTAAGATTTAAGTCCGAACTCATTACTTGGATGACCTTGGATGACCTTGAGAAAGTCTTCCCACTTCTTTTTGTTTGTTTTTAGTTTTGCTCAGGAACTAATCCTGGTGGTTATTGGGCTTCCAACTGGGATACTGGAGATCGAACTAGAGCTGGGCATGTGTAAGCCTTACCCGCTGTATATAACTCCAGCCCCAGTCTTCTCATTTCTTTGGATCTAGGTTTCCTGATTTAAACCAGATTTGAACAAAATTATTTTTCAGATGATTGTTGCCCTAAAACTCCATTATATCATATAATTTGGAAAAAACAACATGCAGGAAAAAGCTGTTTACCTCTGCAATCATTCTGTTCGTGTCCCCTAAGAAAAGCAGGTTTAGTGCTTCTTCCTCCGTGGTTGCCTGCTGAAGAGATAGGTTTTTCAGGTGAATGTTCTGATTAGTGTCCTCAAATATCGTCACTTTCCTAGGTAAATGGAAGAAACAAAAAGAATAAAAAACTTGAAATCTTTCTCAGATCATTTTTTCAGAGTGCTATCCCATGAAAGCTTATAAATATTTAGATACCAAAGAATTTTAAAGTGTATAAGCTTATTGGGGAAGCGGAGCTTGAGTCTGGTGCCTTAGATCACTCGGCCATCTTGACAGCAGCACAGTCGGTAGGGGTTTGCCTTGCAAGCGGCCAACATGGCCAACATGGCCAACCTGAGTTCGATTCCTCTACACCTCTCAGAGATCCTGGCAAGCTACCAAGAGTATCTCGCCTGCACAACAAAGCCTGGCAAGCTATTTGTGACGTATTCGATATGCCAAACACAGTAACAAGTCTCACAATGTTACTGGGCCCACTCCAGCAAATCAATGAACAATGGGAGGACAGTGACAGTGACAGTGATAAACTTATTGAATTAAAATGTAAGTTTTCTACCTCTATCTCAGAAAATAAATCCATATATAATTTTTATAATTAAGTTTTTTACATAGGTAAAACACATTTTTCTACTTTCTCTTTTAGTTCAATTTCATATCACTTCAATGTACATGGCACTTCAAGCTACTTAGTCTATCACTTTAAACATGATAAAAATATTTTTTTATTGAATCACAGTGAGCAATGGTTACAAAGCTTTCATATTTGAGTTTCAGTCATACAATGATCAAACACTCATCCCTCCATGTATGCACATTTCCACCAACGTCCCCAGTATCTGTCCCCATCCCACTGACTCCCCCTGCCTCTATGGTAGACAATTTCCCTCATACTCTCTCTACTTTTGGGCATTATGGTTTGCAAAACAGATACTGAGAAGCTATCATGTTTGGTCCTTTATCTACTTTCAGCACACATCTCCCATCCCAAACAATCCCTTCAACCACCATTGACTTAGTGATCCCCTCTATATTCCAGCTGCCTTCTGTCCCAGCTCATGAGGCAGGCTTCCAACTCTGGAGCAATATTCCTGGCCCTTATGTCTACTGTCATAGGGTGTAAGTCTCATATTATGTTATTTTATATTCCACAGATGAGTGCAACCATTCTAACTGTCCCTCTCTTTCTGACTCAATTTCACTTAGCATGATACTCTCCATGACCATCCACTTATAAGCAAACTTCATCACTTCATCTTTCCTAACAGCTGCATAGTATTCCATTGAGTAGATGTACCAAAGTTTCTTTAACCAGTCATCTGTTCTTGGGCACTTGGGTTGTTTCTAGATTCTGGCCATTGTGGAAAGTGCTGCAACAAACATACAGGAACAGATGTCATTTCTACTATCTTTTTTGCACCCTCGGTATATATTCCCAGAAGTGGTATTGTGGGGTCATATGGAAGCTCAATTTCTAGTTTTTCAAGGAATGCCCATATTGTTTTTCAAAAAGGGTGGGCCACTCTGCATTCCCACCAACAATGAAAAAGAATCCCTTTCTCCCCACATCCGCACCAGAACTGTTGTTCCTGTTCTTTTTTATGTGTGCCAGTCTCTGTGGTTTAAGATGATATCTCATTGTTGATTTAATTTGCATCTCCCTGATGATTAATGATGTAGAGCATTTTTTCATGTAGATTTTGGCCATTTGTATTTCTTTTTTGAGGAAGCATCTGTTCATTTCTTCTCTCCATTTTTTTGAGGGAGTTGGAGGTTTTTTCTTGTACAATTCTACTAGTGTCTTGTATATTCTGAATATTAACCCCTTATCAGATGTGTATTGGGCAAATAATCTTTCCCATTCCATGTTTGGTTTTTCCCATTCCATCCCCTTTGGTTTTGGTCACTGTTTCTTCTGAGATGCAGAAGTTTCTTAGCTTAATGTAGTCCCATTTATTTATGCTTGTTTCCACTTGCTCGGTTAGTGGTGTTTCATCTTTAAAGATCCCTTTGGCTTCAAAGTCTTGGAGGGTTCTGCCTATATTCTCCTCAATGTACCTAAGGGATTCATGTCTGATGCTGAGGTCTTTAATCCACTTTGATCTGACCTTTGTGCCTGGCATTAGACAGAGGTCAGAGTTTATCTTTTTGGAGGTAGCTGTTCAGTTTTGCCAGCACCACTTGTTGAAGAGTATTGCTCCACTTCACATTTCTTGCTTTTTTTTATCAAAGATTAAGTGATCATATATTTGAGAGCCTGTGACAAGATATTCAACTTTTTTCCATTGGTCTGCGTGTCTGTTTCTAGTCCAATGGCATGCTTTTTAAATTACTACTGCTTTGTAATAAAATTTGAAGTTACGGAAAGTGATGCCACCCATCTTCTTTTCTCCAAGGATTGCTTTAGCTACTAGAGCGGGTTTATTGTTCCATAACATGATGAGAATTGAGATAATTGTCATCCCTCTAGGAAAGTTATTCCCTGTATTCTTTTCTTTTTTCCTTTTATTTTTGTGTGTTCTTTTTGGGTCACACCCACCAATCTCAGGAGTTACTCCTGGTTCTGTATTCAGGAATTACTCCCGGCAGTGCTTTGGGGACCATAGGGGATGCTGAAGATCAAGCCCGCATTGGCTACATGCAAGGCACATGCCTTCCCCGCTGTACTATCTCTAGCTCCCCCTGTTTAGTTTTCTAATCATGGGACAAAATTGTTATGTTCATATTTTCCTTGGTTCTTATTATTTTGGGGGATCGTGTGTCAGGTCACATTCAGTGGTTCAGGCCTTACTATTGGATCTGTGATCTGGGTCACTCCCGGTATTTCCTGGAGAAACAGTGCAATGCCAGGGAACAAACATGTCGTCCTTTTACATTGACAATATATCTCTTCTTTCGATCCTTATAGTAACGGTCTAAGGCTAAGAATTATGTTAATCTATTACAAATGGCTTTGAAAAATGTTACTAAGTTTTATCAGCACTCTGGTGCCAACACAATTACCTCCAAGATAACTTGAAACTCTCCAGAATTGGCTCATAAAAAAATCTCAAGATCCTTTTAGGATTTTCTACAACTGAACACAATTTGGTCAAACTTCATACTCTGCTTCAAAGGATAACTAACTCAAGCACTAAAGTAACTAGTGTTCTCTTGTGCCTCTTGACAGTTGCTTTCCTGATTTTCTGAAGAAAAAGAAAGGAAAATGGAAAGGAGAAAGGAAGGAAGAGAGGAAAGAAGGAAGGGAGGGAGGGAAGAAGGGAGGGAGGGAAGAAGGGAGGGAGGGAGGAAGGGAGGGAGGGAGGGAGGAAGGAAGGAAGGAAGGAAGGAAGGAAGGAAGGAAGGAAGGAAGGAAGGAGGGAAGGAAGAGAGGGAGGGAGAGAGGGAGGGAGAGAGGGAGGAAAGAAAATCTTATAATTCATAAGAATTGAAAGGAGTATCTGAACTTTCTTAAAATATCTAGAACTGACTATAATAAATAAAGGTTGGCATCATAAAACACAACATCTCTAATAAAAACATAACTAGCAAGTGGACATGTCTCACATGACTTTATAACAACAACTTTAGAACAATGAAGATTTTGAGACTATAACAACTTCTCAACATTCCCTTTTAAAAGGAGGTTATCTTGACTTTCATATGTAATTTGTGGGCACTTAAATACTAATTACAGGAAGAAACTAGAGTTCTACCAGCACATCTGTGACCAATATGTCACTAGTAATGTACTCCTTTGCTAAATTTTTGGACTTCTTTTTAAATCCTTCAACAATACCAACTAAGATGGAAAAGATCTCTTTTCTTAATGAGAACAAGTGCATTTTATTTATTTTTCAACAAGATTCATAAGTGATTTTATAAATGCTTAAGAGTTCAAAAATGCCTGGAAAACATGAAGGCATTTTTACTGAAATGTAGGAGTTGTATTCTATTTTAAGAACTCACTTTATTCCTTAAACTGTTTTTCCATCTTGATACTTCTGAAGTGGCTTAAAAAGGTTTGGCTAAATTCGCTCTCCAGGGATAAAGAAATCAGAATTCTGCCTAAAACCATGAACACTGTGACTTACAGGTAAAAAGAGTTGAGTACTACTTAAGTACTACTTAACTCTTTTTAGTGCTTAAGAAGATAAACACATGGAAGAAGTGATGAGACAGTAGATTAAAAGTGGAGAGTTCTGTATTTTTCAACATGGTGGTATAAACAACTTTTCCAAACCCAGGCTCGAGTCATCTGTGATACATGCTTTAAGGTCAAATTTGACACTATACTACCCGGTGCAAGTTCAGAAAGTAGAATGTGGAGTGGGACAGGGGCGTGGGGGTGGGTAATTATTCAAAGAGAAGGATGCAATGAGAGCCCTTGAGCATCCAGGGTATGTCAGACACTGGCATGGTTTTATTTAACCCAGCAGTTCTCATCCTGCATAAGCATAGAAAAAATCTGAGGGACTTTTAACAAAATAAAATGTTGATACTCAGTCCTTTCCTAAGTGATCTGATCTGATTTCTGCAAGTCTCGGTATGGGTATCAGAAAATGTGAAAGCTCTAGGTGATTTTAAATAATAGTTAACATTAAGTTATTGCAATTGATGTCAGCTTTAATCACCCAATACTCTATTCACCATCAAAGGCACTCTCAAACTACATCTACTCAGAGGCAACACCACTGTGTATTTTTAAAAGTCTGCCCCTTCAATGGAGGGATACGGGTATACTGTTTATGGGTGTGGTGTTGGAATTATATGCATGGAAAAAAACGAATAACACTACTGTAAATCAAAAGATTTCAGTAAAGAAATATAAGTTAAAAATAAAAGGACAGAAGGAAAAACATGGTATATGAAAATAATTAAAATAATGAAATTTTTAAAATAATTAAAATTTTATTAATAAATTTTTAAAAATTTGCCCTTCAATAAATCATTTCTTTTCTGGGAATGGAGATATAGAACAGTGGGTAAGGCACTTACCTTGCAAATGGCTCACTGGTTTTGATCCCTGGCACCCCATATGCTCCCTGAGCCTTGCCAGGAATAATCCCTAAGTTTAGAGCCAGAAACCCTGAGCACTGCCAGGTGAACCCCCAAAAC